GGCGGGCAATGGTAAACTGTTGGGACACTGATCCAAAAAATAAAGTAAGTACTACCATCTATAATATAAACTTATAATTTCAAATTAGGCATAATTTCTTATTATGTTGTGCGCCTCAGGTTAGAGGTGAGAAGAATATTGAAAGCCGCAAGAGGCAAAAAAATGTATCACACTGGTGGTACAAAGAGCTTCGCACGCCACATGGCTGATTATGTAAGTTAACACGAGACCTCCTTTTTTTCTTTAGACTGTGATGTCGTTTCATAGAATTTGTCATGTTTTATTTTGTGTTTGGGGAGCATTGACATCAGATACTCAATACAATAATACTCAATGAAACAACTTCTGAAGTAAATAGCAATGAAACTATTTGAACTATTTGAACCATTTGAACTATGTTGCTAGACAAAAGTTAGATCAATGAGAAGTCTATGCTATAAATTATTTCAGAAATAAATAGCTAGATAAGTTTCAGTTGATTCCTGAAATTTTCTGAGGCAATATAAACTAGTATGCCTGAGAGTACGTATGTATTAACTATAGATGTTTCCAACAATGCTCAACATTGCATAAAGTACATGTTAGGTTAATTGCTTTTTAACAGAATGGCATGCTTAAAGGATGTAGTTAGCTTATTACAAAAATTCAGGGAACTTGGATGTTCCTGTATTTGCTCAATGCCACCAGAGGACCAAAAGATCTTGACTGAATATAATTAAAGACGAAAAACATAATCCAACAGGAGTGCTACGCTGCTGTTGCAATATCCGTACTCAGTAAAACTATACCAAAATCAGATGACTGCAATATGTCCATTATAACACCAGCATTGTTTAAAAATGCTTGAATAATATTCATTAATACTCAGAAGTAATCTATTAGAGATTTATGCTAGCTGTATTCCGAATAGTCATAGCAAAGCTATTCTTTTAGCACCTTAAAGAAGTTTACTACAGAAACTCAACAACTGAAAGATCATATATGAACAATGAACATGATTAAGGATCCTATAGATCGTACTAAAAGGACATGCCTAGTTATAACAAAGGTGAAATGTCACCAGAGATGGGCATATGGAAGTGAAAAGAGATCCCATGCCATAAATGATACAGTCCACTTTGCGTAACTGCTCCAGAACTGTAGGATTCGCAGTAGGGAAAACCTACATAAAAGAACACAATACTTAGAATTCAACTCAAACAATTTGAGAATTTGCTTAGACATTCCAACCAATTGATATCTTAAAAAAAAAACTGTAACCGTATTATCTAAACTAAACTTCTATGCTAATGAAATTCACAGAAAAATTATCTGCAGTTATGTGTAGGCAACTGTCATAGCTTTTACCTAGATTTAATATGTAATCTGTCATTGCTTTTACTTGGATATAAGTAAGTGATATAAGTAACATAAGTTCCACATTGATGCACTCTAAAGTGCCTATCAAATGAAAACTAAATGCTCATATTGCTATACCAACACCATTTATAATTGGACAAGATGATCCAGTTGTTCTCACACCTAGCTAATGCCTCATTTTCCTCACTTCTAGTCCTGACTCCTTGTCAATATCATCCATCTCCAAGCTGGATTTGATTAACTTCAGAAAATTGCTCTGGTCAGGTTACAATAATTAGTTAAATCCTCTCTAAAACTTAACTGCAAAATATTTCTGCTAAAATTATTCATTTGTATCTTTATTCACAAATGAATGATGCAATTTGAACTAATTCCTTCATCACAAATAGAGCCAAAGACATGGTGAGAATAAATGTACAAAGTTCCAATAAGACTGGCTCACATATGAACTTATGCTAGACAAGTTGGTCTCAGTTTCAGTTGCAAATAAAGTTCTCTGAAGAGAATAAGAACAAAATAGTATCAACCATTTCATGTATGTAGGTTTTGTTCAAAATCTAACACTCAAAATCAGAAAACCATAGATTGAAAATAGCTCCCAAGAAATCACACAAAAAAGTAATGAGGTCCAACAAGCAACAAAAACGCCAGTGACAATAGAATGAAGTCTTCTGAACCCAGATTTCTCGGTCAGTTGTGATGCATTTTCTTCTTTTAGTGTTGTTTAATCCACCTATGTTAAGTTAGCAATCACCATTTTCATATCATTTTTTACCTCCTGGAATCCATGTTCATTTGGTCTCCCTGTAAACCTCACTGCTCTTTGACTGTTGCCAGAAAACTTAACCCACCTTAGGTTGAAAAGGTTGCTTGACCAAGAACAACAGAATATTAGCAAACTTAAGCCACCCTATAAAGAGACATAACTGAATTTGCACCCACTTGGTGAGTAAAGAATTGAGAGAACCTAACTAGTAGAAAATTGTGTATCCTAGACGGAATATTCTAGACGAAAAATTTTCCGTCTAGTTTGTATTAAACTAGACGGAAAATTTCCGTCTAGAATAAATTATTCTAGACAGAAATTTCCGTCTAGAATAGTATCATAGACGGTTCTTATATTTTTAATTTTTTTTTTAATATAATCAGGTATCCTAGACAGAAATTTCCGTCTAGGATGTTTAGGCTGAGATTAAAAAAACCCAATTCCCCCCCCCCCGAAATCCCCCCCGCCCCCTGAGCCCAAAATTTGATCCCAAAATCCTCCCCTTCTACTTCTCCTCCACCTTCTCCCCGATCCCCTCAGCCCTCCACTTCTCCGCACTCGACCCATCTACCTCCCCGTCAGCCCTCTACACCCTCTGCTCTCCCTTCTCCGGCGACCTCACCCTCTCCTCCCCCTTCTACTTCTCCTTCCTCGACCTCAGCCCTCCACTCCTCCGCCCTCGACCCCTCCACCTTCTCCCCGTTCCCCTTCTCCCTCTCACCCGAAACCCTAACCCTAACCCTGACCCACGCCTCCTCCTTCCTGGTAACTTTCGCCACCTCCCCCTCCTCTTCGCCGTGCTCACTGAATCTACACTCAAAGCCACCATTGAGAGCAGAAAAGGGGCACAGAGCTCGCCAGGTTCTGAGTCGTCGATTGTCCCCATTGATGAATTTAGTTCAGAGAAGAAGTTTGGGGAGTTGGTGGAGTGTAGGATTTGTCAAGAAGAAGATGAAGCGTCGAACATGGAGGTCCCTTAATCTTGCTGTGGCAGCTTGGAGGTAAATTTCGAAGTTATAATAAATGTTTTCGAAAAGTATTTTTTTTCCCTTGTGTTTGATTGAGTGAGCTAGTTGGTAAAAAAATGACTTGAGATTATGATCGGGTATTGGAATAGAACGGCTTATTAGAGTTTGGGACGAAAGAAGATCAGTCTTTTTAGCTAGCCAATGAAACACCACTTGTTCAACAATATTCGTCTATCATTTAACGGATGATTTTGATTTTGAAGTGAAATTAGTTGACAGCAAACCAGACTAAACATGCAATTGTTATACTTTAATATTTGCATTTGATAATCCTTCCTAGTTTTGTGATGCTCCAATCTTAATACTTTAATATTTGCATAATTATGGATGATGATGAATGAAGGAGAATTAGTTTGAAATAATACTTTAATAAATATCTTTGCTTATTATGGATGATGATGAAGAAGGAGAATTATTTCAAACTCAGAGCCCAACACTCCATTTCCAGATTAATGGTCTTGTTTATGTCTCTTCTTAATCTTCTGTTTCTCTCAAAGGTATCCCGTTAATAATGTAGGTAAATCAAATGTTTCAATAGATATCCCGTTAATAATTCATCTCAGTTTAATAATTTGCCTCATTTATGTCCAAGTTAGCTTGTCAAATACCTATTGAGTTCTTAGTAGTTACAATTGATTATTCTTAACTTTGGCAAATTGTTGTGATGTTTTCATTTATCTTCTTTCTATTCCTCCAAGTCACTTGACTGTAGTAAGTAATAACTTGAATTATTCTAAATCTTTAGCAAGTAGTAACTCCAACTAATTTAAAATGTAGCAAATCGTAACTTCTTTCTTTCACTTTGAACTATCAGTAAGTCTTGAGTATTGTCCTTCATTACATGAAACTGTATTATTGATGCTTTAGGTGTTTGATTTATCCATGTGAACTTTATGACTGCATACTTAAAACATGCTTAGTACCATATGAAATTTGATGCAAGTAAATACAGATACATCTAAATTCTAGTTCAATGAAGGTCTTCAATTACCTAATTGCATCATTTCCTCCGTGTAAAGTTTACTACTGAAAAGAATGTATATGAATTTCGTTGTAGAAATAAAAGTAGGTTCTTGAGTCTTTGTGCTTAATATTGATTTTGATGAGTTAACAGGAACTACATGGAGAAAATAAAGTCTTCCATGTATTACCCTTTTCACTACTTTGATGCGGATCAGGAGATCCATTCAAGTGAGTTGAAATTCTCTGAATCTTAATGTTTAACTCATACGATATTATTTTAGTTTAAGTTAAAGAATAAGCTGCTATTATTTTCACTAAATTACATTTATGAAAAAATTTTACTTGCTTCCCCTAGTTATTTGCCTATTTGTTTGAATATATTTTGATGCGTATGGCATCATCAAAGCACAAGTATTGTGTGAGCATTATCAATGTGTACTTCTTTGTCTCTTGTAAACATGCAATTAAAATTAGGATTGCAACGTGCATGGTAAAAATCCAATAGTACACAGAGATTCAAATTATGCACATGACCTGAATCACGGCTTCATGTCTTGGAAAGGTTCAGTATCATGTACATGTGAGCCTTATCGTATATACGATGTTGTTTTTATTGTTTGCTTCTGAATTGTATCATGTCCAATGTGAGCCTTATAGTATATATGATATGGTTCTTCTTGTCTGCTTCTGAATTTGGTAACTCCACAATGGACATTTCAATCAACTCTATGTTCACTCCATTTGAGAGCTAATACTAACAAATATAAAATTATCTATGTTTCCTTAACAAACTCTCAAACATGTTATTCCATTTTCTCAAAGATAGATTGCTTAGCAATGACATCAAGGTTGACGTCAAACACCTCATTTCATTCCTACGTCGATCTCTTCCTTTATGTCGATTAGAATTCAATTCCAATTACTTCACAGCTATTATTTCATTCTTTTTTTTATCTGTCTTTGGCCCTTAGCGACATTTTTTTTCTCTCGAGTAGTTATCAAGAATAAAAAAAATTTTCGCCAAATATTTCACATGTTTTAGTTTGCCTGACCTCTGAAATTTATATTCTAGGATATTTACTCGTTTTCGCCAAATATTTCACATGTTTTAGTTTGCCTGACCTCTGAAATTTATATTCTAGGATATTTACTCGTAATAAATCAATTTTTGCAGGTGAACAGTTTGCCTGACCTCTGAAATTTATATTCTAGGATATTTACTCGTAATAAATCAATTTTTGCAGGTGAACGAAGAGCATGTGGACCTCGTGATGGAAGCACTTTCACATAGAAAGGGAAGTGAGAGAGTAGAGCAGGCATTTTGAAAGGAGAGAGGGGCAATTGCTTCCATATATAACAAGTTGGGCCATTTGTAATTTTATTGATTTATTTATTGTCAAATATTAGAGTGTAATTGTTTAAGGTAGTTGGAGTCTTTGTAATGCTAAATTAATGTACATTATCTTGGTATAACGTTCATTTTGTTAGTAGATATTATTAGATTAGTTCATCTTGGTATAATCTTACTTGCAGAATTGATCATATTTTTTTCTAGATGTAATGAAAGAAGCTCAAGTATTTCCCTATTAGCATTTTTTCCTTAATTCTTCAATGCACAAAGTAGATATCTAAACAAAGCAGCAAAAAACAAAAAACAAAACTGTAGCACAACATCGTAGATGGAAATTCCGTCTAGGATGCTAAAATTCCGTCTAGAATGCCTAATTTTTAAAATAAAAAAAAACCTCCTAGATGGAATTTCCGTCTAGGATGAGTATCCTAGACGGAAATTTTCGTCTAGGATACACTTCCTAGACCGAAACTTTTCTCGTCTAGGATGTACTATTCTAGACGGAAATTCCGTCTAGAATAATCCGTCTAGGATGTATTCTAGACAGTTGAATTCCGTCTAGAATAATCCGTCTAGGATGTATTCTAGACGGAATTTTCGTCTAGAATACTACATTCTAGACGGGAACATACTAGACGCGTATTCTAGACGGAATTCCGTCTAGGATACGCATTCTAGATGGAATTCTGATTTTCCTAGACGGAAAATTCCGTCTAGGATACCTCATTTTTTACTTGTGCCTGCTTCTATTCAAATATCAGATTTGTGATGTATTAGGATTTTCTCTTAAAGTTACATTAATGCCTATGCTCTCTAGCGTCTTAGTTGTCCTGGATTTGTTTCAATTGACTTTTATTCTATGTAGACCATTTGATGTCCATAACATTACATTTACTGTTGAAGTCTGCTTCTTTGAGATGTTGCTTCTTTAGTTAAATAAAATTTATGATTGTTTTTCTGTGTTTTAAAAATAGGAGAAAAAACATGGTCGCAAAGCCGATCCTATTGAGATGTTTTATATAGTGCACAAACGGCGAGATGAAAACAAAAGTTGGATAGATGATGCATCGGAGGAATTGGCAGTGAGTTTGAAATTTAATAATTTGTATTTAGACAAGTAATACATGTAAAAAAATTGCTTTACTTCATATTGTGTCCATTTTGGCTATTGAAGTGAATTCTTTTTTCAGGTTAAGATCTCACGGGAATTAACGAGTTTGGTTGAAACCCATGGCGAGGAAACATAAGAACTAAGCAACAAGCTTATGTAGCAGCAAGGGGTTTAGAAACTCGTGGTAGAGTTCGTGGTTATGGAAGAGGGGTGACGCCATACATGATTCCTTGGGTGGGACAAACTCAGCCAACAGCTTCATCACTTTGATCACGTACTGGGCGAGCATATGCTAATTTGCAATCTCAATATTCAGAACTTGAGGAAAAGTATGAGCGACAGCAAAAGGAGTTGGATGAGTTGAAACAGATGATCACTTCAGGGAACGCACATCCGCATCAACAATCTTCCTCCCAACAATAGTCTAACTCCCAGCAGTGGTCTTCATCCCAACAACAGTCACCTTCCGAACAAATTCTGACATCTTGCCCATATCCACCATATCAGCATCGTCGTCCGCGATCTCCTTCCCAACAACACTCACCTTCCCAGCACACTCCGACATCGAACCCATATCCTCCATATCAGCATCTTCCACCGTATCCGATACATCATCTTCGCAGTTCTACTACCCTAATCCATACCAGCCACCTTTGTACCACCCAGTGCCATACCCACGTGGAAAGTTTACAGAAATGATCAATGATTCAGATTTTATGCAGCAGATGATGCCACCAAATGATAGGAATGGCAGGGATAAAAGTTAGATATTTTTACATTCATGTTGATAGTCAACTTTGTTGGTTATTTAAGTTATTGTTAAGTACTATTTGTCACACGCTTTTTAACCAATTTTGGTACATTATTATGTAATCAAATTGGATTGACTTCTTATTAATCAAAATTATTCATGTTTCAATTATTTTATGTTTGTTTTTCAATTTAATTATATGAATTAAAAATTAATTATTTTTTCCGAATTTATTAAAAAACTTAAAATATTAATATCAAATTTAAGTTATTAGAGGCAATTATATTTGTACCTTAAATTAATACCTTTATTTTAATTCCAACTATTTGGGGCAGTTACATCTGCATCTAAGAAGTTATTAGAGGCGATTATATTTGTACCATAAGTAAATACATTTATTATAATTCAAACTATTTGGGGCATTTATATCTGCATCTAATAAGTTATGAGAGGCAATTATATTTGCCTCTAATACTTTTTCAAATAAACCAGCTGACGTGGCGTATTGAGTATTTGGAGCGGAAGTTTGTGCAAAATTGCCCCTAATAACTATTAGCAACACCACATTTAGGTGCGGATACGAGATTTGCCACTCATGTAATTAGCCACATTTAGGTGCGGATACGAGATTTGCCACTCATGTAATTAGAGGCAGATAATTCCATTTATTTGCCTCTAATTGAATTAAAAGTGACGAAAATAATTGCCCCTAACTCTTCTTTTTTTGTAGTGAGAATTGGTCCGCTTGATGAATTGTGGTGGTAACTATATATAACTATAACTTGTTGCATAAATTGCAATTGTCATTTTTTAAGAAAATACATGTGACTATCTGACTTCGATTGTATGGTTTACTAGCTTATTAATTTCCATTAGTAGTAGTTATTGATGAACCAATGGAATAGTTTACCAAGATTATGAGTCTGCATGGGTGATAATTATAGTGCCTTGAAATAAACTTTGATGCAAAATGCAACTTCTATGGGCATGATATAAGTATATTGAAGCTTGCTAAAATAATATTAGTATTCCTTTTGTGACTTGGGTTGGAGGTTATACTTATACCACAATTTAATTTTCTTAATAGGACCGGATATTCCTGCCATGGAGCTAATACCAATGTTGTAAGGTAATGACATGCATACATGTTAATTTTTTTTGTAAATGTTGTCAATTCCAAGTTTGGAAGGAAAACCATGGTGTCACGCCCCGGCCCCGTGGCTCGTTGGCGCGTGCAAGTCGTGGGACCCACCGAGTGTAACGTGCTATTTGGCTCAAACCACTGCCAAAATCGACTAGCCGATATTACACTTGAATCTTTAGCTTCACTATATATAAACCTTTTAATTTTTCATTATCCAACCGATGTGGGACTAAATGTTGTGGAAAACTGTCACTGTCAAGTGGGACGTCACATTTACCCCGCCTTACCAAGGCACTGTCCTCGTCGCGACATGACAATTAGCACATCCCAGGCTACCAGGCGATGTGGACTCTAGAGGTAGCTTCTACGGGCTCTAGAGAAGACTCCCACCACATAGTGTAACACTTAGCTCCGCATAGCACTTAGCTCCACACTTCCGGTTGGCAACTGCTCTGATACCATTTGTCACGCACCGGGCCCGCGGCCCGTTGGCGCGTGTAAGATATTGGACACACCGAGTGTAACGTGCTATTTGGCTCAAACCACTGTCAAAATTGACTAGCCGATGTTACACTTGAGTCTTTTGCTTGAATATATATATAAACCTCTTAATTTTTCATTATTCCACCGATGTGGGACTAAATGTTGTGGGAAAGTGTCGCTGTCAAGTGGGACATCACATTCGTGCCAACGGGCCATGGGCCCGGGGTGTGACACATGGGGTATCTCCTGCTAGAGAAATGCCAACTACCAATGCATTATGGCTTACTTTCTACTAATGTTCATTGCTCAACCATTGATGAAAGAAAGTTACATCAACTTGTCTGTTATAGCGCAGGAATCATGGTGAAAGTTTTTAGGTGTCCGAAAATTGCAGAACTTTTGCTTCATATGAAGGTAACGGTGCTAGCTTAGTCATCCTTTAGAGGAACTGTACAAACAACATACATATCAAGTGCCAACAAATCATGACTGACATTTATGGCAATTGATGACTGATAATCTAGCTTAGTAACAATGAGTCGATTTATACCGTGTATACTGTTGAGGAGCATAAAAAATAGAATGTTTATGAGGAAAACAGACAAGTTAACAAGTAAAAAGCTCACATTTGCCAAGGACAATGGATTTAGTAATGCTAAGGGACATAAATGTTCTGTTGTTTGATGCACATCATGGCTTTTGTGTGATAGGTGACATTTAATCTAATGTTTGTGGCAAGAAAATTGCACATCTTGATTGTTGTGGCAAGAAACTGGTTATTGTGTCTTTTCACCCCTTATATATGAAATTTTAGTCAAATAGAATTGGTCCACTTGATGCATTGTGGTGGTAACTATATATAGCTATAACTTGTTGCACACTTGATGCATTGTGGTGGTAACTATATATAGCTATAACTTGTTGCATAAATTGCAATTGTCATTTTTGAGAAAATATATGCGGCTATAACTTGTTGCATAAATTGCAATTGTCATTTTTGAGAAAATATATGCGACTATCTGACTTGGATTCTATGGTTTACTAGCTTATTAATTTCCATTAGTAGTAGTTACTGATGAACCAATGGAATCGTATGCCAAGGTTATAAGTCTGCATGGGTGATGATTGTAGTGGCTTGAAATAAACTTTGATCTTGAAATAAACTTTGATGCAAAGTGCAACCTCTATGGACATGCTATCAGTATATTTTTTTTTGAACTAGAGAAATAGGGTAAGGTACCCTGTTCATTTAATATATAAAAGAAAAGTTTGGAAGTAAATACATATAACTTCTCTAGATAGAGGGAAAGCAGTGGGAGTGGTGGGTAGGGAGCGGACCATAGTCGTCATCTACCACACAAGACCTACCGTTTCCTACGTCTAGAGAAAACAAAAGAAAACCATCAAGAGAACAACGTATCCAGAAGGAATTAGAAAACAACAACAGACTGAGAAATAAAACTGTAATTTGCTAGGCGCAGCTAGCAACTAACCAAAATGGAACAAAAGTGCCCAACAGACTTTCTTCTTCCTGATGCAGCTCAAGACGCAGCTGCTAGTTGCTGGAGAGGCTGTCCCCTGCATCCGCAGGGGGAGGCTTCTTTGCTAGGTCCTGTAGGCCAAGGTTGAGGGCTGCCCTTCGCAGCCTCCTCGCCGTCCTGTCATCTCCGTCACCTGACCAGAAAATCGTAAATCTCGCGATATTAGAAGCAGTAGTTAACGAATTAGGTAAAATATCCCTGAATATTAACGAATTTCTATAGAACCATATCCACCAACAGTAACATGGCAACAAGATCTTCCATATGGCTTTAATGTCCGGGAAAATGTTGGGAACTTGATAGAGCAGCAGCAGGTCCTCCATATTAGTGGGCCAGCTGTTAACTGGGAAAAGAGGGAGGAGGTAGTTCCAGACTTCACGGGCAAAAGAGCAATGAATAAAAAGGTGATCTTGAGACTCTGTCTCCCGATGACATAAGGGACAACTTGGATCACCATTCCATCCTTTTTTAATCAAGTTATCTTTTGTATTCAATTTCCTTTTAGTAATAATCCATAGGTGGATTTTACCTTGAGGGGAATGTTGGATTTCCAAGTCAAGTTGAAATACTTAGATTTAAGACCACCTGAAGTAATGAAGGAGTAAAAGGATTTTACAGTGAAAGAGCCCGATGAATGAAGAGGCCACCATAAAGCATCCTGCTCTGATGAGTCGCCTGGGGATTGATGCTCTAGGAAAGAGAGAAGATGGGTAACGTCTGCCCTCTCACTGGGGGAAGTTCCCCTTCTACTAATGGGTAACGTCTGCCCTCTCACTGGGGGAAGTTCCCCTTCTACTAATAGGGTGCCAGACCCATGAACCGTTGGCCCATCTTCCTTGCGATCCAATGCTACAGTTGCTCGAGAAGGCTAGCTTGTATGCATGTGGAAAGAGACTGCTAAGAGTGTTAGCTGATGCCCATTTATCATGCCAAAAACTGCCCGTGATGCCATTACCAACATTCCATCTGACAATGTTGAAGAAGGTGGATTGTGATGAGAAAAGATCCTGAAAAAATCTTGAGTGTGACATCTTCGGATGATTAGCAAAAGGGTTAGCTCCATATTTGGAATAAATGGAGAAAAACACTTCACTGAGCAGGGATGATCTATCAAAAATTTTCCAGATCCATTTGGAGAGGAGGGCTGAATTAAAGGAGGGGATGTCAATCACCCCAAGCCCTCCTTCATCTTTGGCCTTACATACTATTCCCCAGTTGATTAGACATTTAGATCTAGCGAAGCTATGGCTACCATTCCAGAGGAAATTTCTTCTAATTTTATCTATGGCCTTGATGACCCATACCGGCAACTTGAAGAATGACATGTAATAAAGGGGAATAGAGGAGAGCACAGAATTCAGTAAAGTTAGTCTACCTCCAATAGAGAGGGATTTGTTCTTCCATAAGGATAGCTTCTTTTTG